GGTGTGGGGAGGGCGCTCGGAGGGGGGTGTGGGGAGGGCGCTCGGAGGGCGTGCCCCTTCACCTTCCCGAGAGCCCCCCTGAGGGAGGCCAGCGTGAGCCGCCGCACGTCGTGGCCCCCCAGCAGCACCGCGCCGCCCTCCGTGTCGTAGAACCTGGGAACCACGTATGATGACGGCGGATGACGTCACCTCAACGTTAGAACGGGGCGCCCGGCTTTGCTGCCAGCAAGGGCTGCATGAACATCTGCAATGCTGAACGCATACAGAGCATTCTGTGGAACAGTTGAAAGTGGGTGGGCCTGCATGCAGCTGGCGCGTTCACACAGTCCTGATTTTCCCGCACCTGTACAGCAGTCTGAGGATCGTCGACTTGCCGCTGCCGCTGCTGCCCACCACCGCGCAGCTGGTGCCGGCCGGCACCCTGAAGCTCACGCCGCGAAGGATCTGGGAGTCCTCGCGGTAGCCAAACTCGACATCACGCAATTCGATGTCCAGACCAAACCCCAGGCCCCCCTCGCCGCCGCTGCTGCTAGTGCTGCCGCTGATGTTGCTGCTGCTGCTGCTGCTGCTGCTGCTGCTGCTGATGTTGCTGCTGCTGATCGCGCCGAACGATGCCGGCGACGAGGTGGGCGGCGGCAAGGGGATGGCGTCCGGCGCGTCCCGGATGGCTGCGCGCTCCTGCAGAATGGTATGTTGTAGCGGGGGGGTCGGGGGCGACGTCGCGTGACACTTGCAAAAACGCCACATAAACATTTATAAGGGCTCTAAGTACTGGCAGCACGTGGATGCACGTGCACGCAGCCGGCCCAGGGATCATGCTGTCCTTGGACTGCCCCGCCCCTGGCCGCGCGCTTCGGTCCCAAGGGCCGCCTGCTAACAGCCGTAAGAGCACACAGGGCCGAGCGTAAAGCGTGGCATCGTTCCCGCTTGCCTCCATGAGCGCAAACATGGCCCCCATGTCCACCAGCGACTGCTTGGTCTCCCGGTAGACGGTGCCCAGGAAGTTCAGGGGCATGGACAGCTGGTTTTGTGGGAGGGGGCGGCGGAGGCAGGGCGTTGGGGATGGAGCCAAAGAGCCCGGTCGATGATTGCCAAAGGTGGTCAAAGGGATTGGACGTGCTGTTGCAGATGCAGCCAGTGGTTGTTGTGAGGCCGGCAGCTCAAGAAGGAGAAATCTGAAAATAAGTGCTCTCATACTCGCGATCCTTTGTCAGCAGCGGCCCGAGGGCCGGTCAGACCTCGTAGATGTGCATTATTGGAGGGGTTATAATCAGCGAGCACCGCAGCGCCAATGGCCAGGAAGCCTGGACAACACCAGGACGCACGCATGCGCTGAAAACACACAGATAGCACACCTATTGCATCACACACAAACACACCAAAACACATGAGCGTGTGTGTGTGTGCAAGCTATCATGCATGCGTGCAAACACCGACCGCCGCCCCTTTGACTTCCGTAGAATAGCCCCAATCGCAGCTCACCTGGAACAGCAGCGCGTTGACCATCACCAGGTCCCCCACGGTGTTGGTGCCCGCGGCGATGCCTGAGCACGTCATCACCATTGCGGTCGCCTGGGGAGAAGGGGCCGGCCCAGACGCGGCGGGGGCGGCGCAGAATGAGAGCGGCGACGGCGAGGCATGGGCAGGCGTAGGTCTGGTTCTGGCAGGCCGGCTCGGGTGAAACCGGGGCGCCTTGGAATGCTCCATTGGGTGAGAAACCAGGAGTGCATCCCCGACCAACATGCCCGAGCCACAGATACAGCTGCGGCGCCCAGCGGCCCCTCAAAATTTCAACCAAAGGAGCAGCATCGGCAGCAGCTGCGTAGGAATGGATGGAAAGAATGGGCGGCAGCCCACCAGCGCCCCCGAGAAGATCCAGTTCTGGCCCAGGTTGAGCATCGACAGCGACTGCTGAGTTTTGATCCCCGCGGCCTGGCCGCGCCATGAAGGTGGGCGGGCGGAAGGGGAAGGGGCGCGGTCAGGCCGTGTGCGCGTGACGGGGGCGCGTGGCAGGCGGCAGGCAGCGGGTCCATGCTTAGAAAGGCGAGGCGGAACACCCGCGGCCGGCCTGCAAGCACCTGGGGTCGTCACTGCAGGCACTTCTCACATCATGTGTAACCCTGGAACACCATGTGCAACCTCCACGGCGCCATCCACCATGCACGAACCCAGCCGGACCCCAGGCGCTGCTCGACCGCACCAGCCTTGAGACCCACAAACCCCTGTTTCAAGCAAAGCCAGCCGGTCACCTGGTACTTTGCCATGCACTCGTCATGGCGCCTGAGCTCATGCTGCTCGTTGCCAAAGTACTTCACCTGGGGAGGAGCAATGAGAGGACCCACTCTATTAATACCACTGGCTCAGGCAACCCTATGTGCTATGCCTGGCCAATTCCTGCGCGTGTGACCATGATGGGGCACCCGCACACCAGCTTCCATGGGTTTGCAGACCCTCCTATGGCAAGCCACGAGCGACGGATTTCACATGCTGACGCGACGTCCAGCACCCGTCACCTGACGGCTGCCCAGCGCCGACGTGCAGCCAGTTGTGATCGGGCCCTGAACCCCAGGCCTCACATCCCCGGCCCTGGGCACCGCGCACCGTCTCGTAGTTGAGCAGCGAGTCCAGCGCGCGGCTATTGGCCTCGGCCTCGGCGCGGTTCATGGTGCGCCGGAACTCGGTGCGCCACTGCGTCATACATGCAAAAGGAGTGGGCAGAGGATGACGCAATCAGCGGGCAGGGGCAGTGAAGGAGTGGGCGGAGCGGGGCGGGTGGAAGGCGGCGCGGTTAAGGGTGGGGCACAGTTGGAGCAGGGCTTCTGAGGTTGCTCGAATGCAATGAGAGCTGTCTGTAGCAGGCACAGCTGCTCGAAGGCCGAGGTGCCAGCAGGGCGGGCCTGGGGCTGGGTGAGAGCCCCGGCCGCCGTGCAAAAAAGCGGCGCGCCTGCGTGACCGAGAAGGTGAAGGCGATGTATGCAGCCAGGGTGCCAAACGTGAGGGCCGCCAGGGAGGGGCCGCACTTGGCCGTCAGGATGGCGCTGACCATGGCCACCTGCAGCGCGGCACGCGGCGCCAACACGACAGGGCTCATGTCAAGTCGTTCTCAGAAGCTCAAGCGAGTGCCCTTCAAATAATCTGATCACGCGAAGGGCTGCGGCGCCGTCCAGGCCGACTGCGCCTCGAAAAACAAGGCGCCCAGCTGGGCGGCCTCGGCACTCCCCTTGAGCTTTTCTCATGTGTGCAGGCACCGACAGCCTGGCACGGGTGCTGACCTCAAAGACGGTGGGTACCACATTGAACACCATGCTGGACAGGGTCCAGTTGATGCCGCGCGTCCCCCTGCATTGTCAACCAAGGACGCGTGTTTGGCATTTGACAATGCAGTTCGTGCGAGAAGCAAAGGCTGGTAGGGACTCTGCGCTGCGTGCAGTCAAGGAAGCTGCCCGGCACTTTCATCAAAGAACCTGCACAAGCCTAATCAGCGCACGCGCGCGCAACCCTGTCTGTCGCGCCCACCTGTCTATGACGCGGTTGAGGGCCCCTGTCTGGCGTGAGAGGTGGAACTTCAGGTCCAGCGACAGCAGGTGGGCAAACACCCGGTTGGCCACGCTGCGGATGGCAGACTGGGACACCTGCAAAGGGATGTGCGATTGGGAGCAAGTGTGGGTGTGGACGTGTGTGTGTGTGTGTGTGGGTGTGTGTGTGTGTGTGTGTGAGTTTTTGTGTGTGTGACACCATGTTCGTGGGGTAGACGTTGGTCAAGGCTCTTTGGGCCGTGCTGGATTTGCAGGCCTGGGTTGCAGGGTAGACGAATGCGACCCAGAGTCTACAGGCCGAGTTGACAAACGGAGGCTGGGCTGGTGAGCAGTTTCCCATCCCGTGCATTCAAGAAACCGACACGCACCTTTGCAAACACGATGTTCCGCATCTCCCCGCAAAATGCGGCCCCCCCGCGGCTGATCCCATAGCCCATTAGCAGCGCCACGGGCCCCAGCGTCGCCACGCCCCACAGCGCGCTGGGAGCGGCGCCAGTGGGGTCTATGGCCAGGGCGTCCACCGCGTGCTTGAAGAAGAACGGCACCTGCGGCCGGCACAAAAAACAGGCGGCGTTTGAAGGCTCGCTGCTTTCTACCAGCCACGGTTGGCAGGTCTGAGGCATCCGTGAGCGGCGGCACTGATGAGATTCTCAGTCGCCTGTGAACCGCTAGCACCAAACACAGCTGTTATCATGCCTGGAACCTTACGGGTGCGTACTCCTCGGACGCCGCTGCAAGGCAGACATTTGCCGCACCTGGACTGTCAGCAGCTTGGACGCGACAAGCAGCCCCATGGCTAGGGCTATGCGGCCCTTGTACTCCGGGTTCTCTGCGGTTGGGGTGCAGTCAACTGGTCAGAGCCAGACTTTGGCTGACGGGAGGGTCCAAGGGCGAGGCAGCCAAGCCAGCAGGAAAGAGCAAGGAGATAGCAGCTGAGCAGGTGGGCCACGCAGACTGCTCGGATCCCGCAGCATGCGGTGTCAGCAACGGCAAGGCGGCCGCTGGCACAACGCAGCGGCTGCTGAGTGCCGGCACGCGGCGCTGAAGTGGTTGACGCGCCGCGCGCTGCAGTAGTGCCGCACCCTTTGGCCAGAGGTAGGTAGCTAGGGTGGACAGGATTTGGCGGTCGCTCATCTTCTCGGCCGCAAGCTCGTAGTTGGTGGGGCCATGGGTGCGGCCTCGTGTTGCCGCTGCACCAGGGACCCCCCCTCCGCCGCCGCCGCTGCTACTGCCGCTGCCATGGCTCCCGGCTTCGCCTTTCGGCGGCTGCCCGGCATCCGGCGGCGGCGCGGCCGCGGCCGCCAGCGCGGCGGCGGCGGTGTGGAAGCCTTCTCTAGGCAGCAGGTTGGGGCCGCTGTGCTCGTGCCAGCTGCTGGAGACGCAAGCTGCTCGTGACGTACGGGTAGCGTCATCGCCGCTGCCATTACTAGGATGTAGGCAATTATGCTGCCATGGCAGCTTGCCCCACAAGGCTGTGGGACCCCAATGCGCCACCTGAAGGAGTTTGATATAGTGTCACCAGGCGGGTTTGAATTCAGAGTAAGCTTGCACAGGCATGCAGCCCACCTGTGGCGGCGCTGCGACGGCGCGCCATGCACAGCTCGCAGCACGCGCTGTATCTTCACCTGGGACTGCTGCACCGATGATCGTGGCCTCCTGCGCAGTCCACTCGTGCTGGAAAGCTGGGCGCAAGAGCCCGCAGGGCTGCAAGCTCCGCCACTGTGTTTATCATCAAGCACGCACGCCCACGCACTTGAGCACGCTCTCATGATTGTGTGGGCCGAAGGCCCGAGGGCAGCGTGCCTGATCATCGCAGATCACAGCATGCCAACGATGTGTTTTGTGCCAATGGCGACTGTTGAGATGCTTCGAGACCCTGCAGAGATGGACTCATACCTAGACTTACATACCACGGTTGGTAAGACTTTGACAAGACGGCGGAGGCAGCAGACAAAGTGACGCAGTGACGCCACAGCAATGACCACCTGGCGATGACGTCAGTCTGCATTGCACCTCATGAAATGGCCGGGTCCAACTGTCAGCAAACAGTTCACACAACTTTTGTCTCAGTGTCAGAGAAAATTGCAATGCTGCAGTGCAACAAGCCAGTCTTGCAGTCTGTGAGCAGAGCGCCTGCACCTGTCTGTGAGTCTGGCGCTGGTGTGCTGTGTCCAAGTGCTTGATGCCGGACACCGCGCCAGACCAAAATTGAAGCTTCAACTTGCCTGAGCACTGTATCAGGATTGCTGGCAGCAGTGCTTGGGGAGGCATCACATGGCTGCATGTAGGTGGCAAATCAATCAAACCTGTTGCGCAGCTCAGGTGTGCATATTGCATACAGCATGGGTTCGAAGCGGCTTGAGAGTTTTGCAGATGTTATTACATTAAATCAGACAGGGCAGAGCCGAGCTTACTTGCTCGGGCCAATTGTCCTGGCTTGCAAGCTTGCTCAGGCCCCGGGGCAGGCACAGGGCCTGCCTGTGAAGCTGTGGAGCGGCATCCACTGCAAGAACAGGGGTTCTCCTCAGACACTCCTCAAGATCCTCCTTATCTGTGGGCCAAGGAGTCTGCAAGGAGACTGTAAGGAGGAGGCCTCCCTGCTAATATCATTGTGGCTAAGGAGTGAAATGGAGCCGGTAAGGAGTTGATAAGGAAGTGGCCTTACAATGGGCAGCCTCTTGACTGTTTCCATCTATAAGTATTAGTATCATGCATCTAAAGTACATGCATTGATGAAGGTGCATTGCGCACTCACATTTGGTGCGGTTGGCACACCACGGCGCCTGCATGCTGACTGCGTGCCTGGCAGTTTGCTCAATTGCCAGGCGTGCGTGCAGCAGCTAGCAGGTTGTGAAATGTGACGACCAAAGTCATGAAAATGATGCATCAGAAGGAAGCAAAGCCGCATTGCATGTGCTTAAGATTGTACAACCAGGGTACATACTCAAGCATGCTAGATGCAACTGCTGTGCAGTGTTTCATTGTTGAAGGTGTCACCCCTGCATGACACTGGCGGATGGGTGCAAGGCGGTTTAATTTCATGATTTTGGTTGTCACATTTCACAACCTGCTGCTGCATGCACGCCTGGCAATTGAGCAAACTGCCAGGCACGCAGTCAGCATGCAGGCGCCGTGGTGTGCCAACCGCACCAAATGTGAGTGCGCAATGCACCTTCATCAATGCATGTACTTTAGATGCATGATACTAATATTCATAGATGGAAACAGTCAAGAGGCTGCCCGTTGTAAGGCCACTTCCTTATCAACTCCTTACCGGCTCCATTTCACTCCTTAGCCACAATGATATTAGCAGGGAGGCCTCCTCCTTACAGTCTCCTTGCAGACTCCTTGGCCCACAGATAAGGAGGATCTTGAGGAGTGTCTGAGGAGAACCCCTGTTCTTGCAGTGATCACACCTTGCTGCCCTCCATTCTGTGGTGCAGAGCTTTGTGGCGACACAGATTCTGTGGTGGCAGGGCGAGTGGCAGTTGCGCCCCGGTCCGGTCGACTGACTGCCTTAAAGTGTGAGGTGCTGGCCATCGTTATGGGCCCCTGCAAGAGGTGAGCCGCATGTATGTGTTGAGGGCCCCATCCAACTGCAACCAGTCACTCTTGCCAATCCTGGACAAACAACAACGGTTGAGACCCACCAACATGATCCCTCACTCGTGCGATGTGCCAATTCTCAGGGGGATATCAAGAATATCAAGCGCTGTTCTCAGAGTCTTGAACCCACCACTCAGCACAGTCGTAACAAGGAATTGATGGCGGATGCTAGTCATAGGCAGGATTACACAGAGATGCAGGTGTGCTTTGCATGGCAAGAGCAGAGAGATGATCAATCGTCCTGCGTGACACCCCCCCCCTTCCCCAAAAAAATCAGCGCAAAAGGAAATTTTACAGCAGTGAACAATGTGTCGTTTTGTACACAAAGCATAACACGGGCTCCAGCTATAATCAGCTGCCGGCCAGCTTCTTGATTGTGTCCTTGAGCAGGTCGACCCGCGCCCCCGTGAAGGACTCAGCGCGCTGCCGCCCCTTGTAGAAGGCAAACGTCGGCTGCGGTGCACAAGCGGGACGCAGGGTCAATCGGCGAAGCCCGCGGTCCAGATGATTCCTGCGAAGGCTGCTGACAAAACTGCGCCCAGGCAAGCAGGGACATCAACAAACTTGCGGCGTGCCGCAGGTGAGGTCTGCGCCTACTGAGCCGTGGTCAACGCCGCTGCCTTAGTGACCCAACACCCCTCAACACGAGTGCCCACCACTCCTGTGATGCCATGGTCCATGACTGTGCGCTGCAGCTGCTCGTTGTCGATGTCCACCTTGAGAAACCGCGCCTGACAGTGAACAGATGGTGCACGCATGACGTGTGCGTTCGGGCAGTCAGCAAAGGCCGGCAGCCGGCCGGCCGGGCGGTCCAGGGCTGCGGCTGGGCGCGACCCCAGATGCCGGAGTCCGCCTGAGCTCGCGGTATCGTAGCGGCGCTCAGGCGCCAGCAGGCACCAGCTGCGTCAGCGTGCAGGCGTCGAGACATAGCACGGCCGCTGCCCTCCACACACCCCTCCACCCTCAAGCCCCGCCTGGTCATGTCGGGCCCCTCAAAACTCAGCCTACGTTGGGGTACTCTTTGCTGAGGGCCTCGTAAATCGGCGCCACCGCCCTGCAGGGCCCGCACCACTTCGCGGTGAAGTCCACAACGCCCACCGCGCCAGTCTCTGGGAGGGGCGCAGGGTGCGGAATGCATGCGGGGCATGCGGACAGCGCTCATGACGGGCGTTTTGTTTTGTGCTGGTGCTGCAGACGCGGGACGGGAGCCAGCTGCGCGCGCCATGGGCTGATACTTTCTGCGATGGGGCGCATAGATCATGCAGGCAGGGGAAGTGCGCTGCAAAGCAAAGTTGCTTGTGTTGTTTGCAGAGGGCTCACGCGCAAGCTGCTTGATCTCGCTCTCAAAGTCGGCGTCGCTCTCGACGTCCTTGACTAAGGAGCCTGCTGCGCATGGCGAGGTGGGGTTGATAGGGATGGACCTTGTAATCTGGCTCATTGGCTGGTGTGCTTCGCCGCCTGCATGCGGCCACGCACGAGCCTGTGTTGTACACCTTCGCAGCTGCTGGAGCCAGGACATCTTTCATGATGACGAGCCGCCAATCCGCTATTCTACAGCGCCCTCATAAGACGCACCGGCGTCCGCAGCAAACGCCCGCCTTGCTGCAACTGCTTGAGCCGCTGCTGCCTGGCTGCAGGCCATGCGCAAGACACCTGGCACTAGCCCAGACATCGAGGAGGCGAGCATGTTTGATATGATGCTCCTTCGCCGATCCTGAGTGACCACGTATACAATCTTCAAAAGCCAAAGGTGGAGATCATAGATCTGGCAAGCAGTCTGGTTGGCCTGAATGCGAAGAGCGTGAAAGCTGCCAATCAGGCTTTGATCCCAAATAGCCACCCCACACGCGCGCCACGGGTACCGTACTGTATGATGCAGCGAGCAGCCAGCGAACAGGCACACAGGAAATTCGGCAAGTTTGCAATATAGGTCGCGCTGCACAACAGCATTGGTTAGAACCTAACTCGCATACAGTTTTTCACGAGGTTTCGAGGCATTCCAGTCCACCATTACAAGGGACGAGATCATCAAGGTGCGGCACGGCTCCTGCAGGCTGTAACTCCGCCCGCGGGGTGCTGCAATGCTCGTTTTATTGCCTTGGAAATTTGTTGTTGGCTGAGACAATGGGTGGCCCGATGGATCCTGCAGGGTGCAAGCGCTGCCTGCGGCGGCTGCTGTGTGGCGGCAGTGTGTGGGTCTCCGTCTCATTGTTGTGCTATGGCCGGTGACGAAATGCTTTTTAGGATCAACCACCTTATGGGCTTCCTCGCCCAGCATGATGATCCCCAGCAAACCGAGGCCTTTCCTCCCCTCATTGAGCACTCGACGCCTGCACATTGCTGGTCTCTAGTGCTGACTTGCCAAGCCACCTGTCTTGCCCAACCCCGCAGGTACTGTTAAACAGACTGGGAAGGGCGACGCACATCTAGTTTACCAAGTGGCAGTGTTGCTCCAGAAGTATGTGCATGCAAGCGGAAAGGGACCTGCTGACAGTCATCCCCCCCTCAGTCGTGATCCCACTCCAGCCAGCATTCGTTCACATCGTGCCTTCACCGGAGTGCCGGCGCACCCTGTGCCTGCCCCAGCGCTTCTCGGACGGTCTCCACCCATTCCTGAATGCCGGGGCTGTCGGGGTAGAAAATACGTGAGATGCCTGCCGCCTCGCATGCCCGCGCTGATGTGGAACCGATGCAGACCGCCACCGTCTTCTTGGCTGCAGCCTCGCCCACCAGCGCAATCCAGGCCCTGGGAACGGGTTGCATTGTGTGTGTGTGTGTGTGTGTGTGTGTGTGTTGCAAGGAGGGTGTGTTGGTGTCGATCTCTGCTTTGAGTGATGATGGCGAGCCTGTGTGTGACTTGATGCGTGATGCGAGGGCAGGCTGGCAACGCCCCCCCTGCGAATGCTGTGCTGCTCGCCTGGCAGTGTCGTGCTAGTTGATACTCGGCGGACTTGGATTCACCAAGCGCAGCACAGAGAGGCACAGCCCAGCCTCACAAGCACCAACCAGCACCCATCACACCCCTGGTGGTGCTGCCGATGCTGCTGTTCAAACGTGTGCTCCCACGAGCCCCAACACCCTCACTTGACAGCTGAAGGTGAGCCGAAAGTGACAGCGTCCGCATTGATCGCCTGCTGGAGCAACTCAGGGTCGACATTTTTCACACCGACGGTGTCATACGTGCGGATGCAGTTGACGCTGAAGCCGCTGGCCTCCAGGCTGTTCTGCAGGTCGCCGGACGCACGCGCCGATGCGGGGTAGAGGACGACGTCGGTGCCGCCAGGGATGTGCGGCAGCTCGGCGCCCATTATCTTGCCATAAGCCTGTTGGTATTGTTCGTACGGGGCCAAAAATACAGGGAGCTTAGGCCGCTGTTGCACCCCGAAGCCTGGCATGATCAATTTAGAGCTGGGTGCAGGACTGGTTGAGGCTGCAAATCAGCGCGCGGGCGCAAGCGTCCTGACAGGCGTGACTGTCAAGGCTGCAGTGCAGCCAGTGGTGCCGCTCTGCGACGCCAGGGCACAAACAGTCCGTGCCAACGCACCTTGCTGGCAGTGAAGGCGGGCTCGACGCCAGCTGCGATCAGCGCGTCGCGCGTGCCACCCCCCACCACCGCAACGCGGACCTGCGGTCACAACACAACAACCGCAAAACCATTGCTGCTTGGCGTATGTCCTTGCATGCGTTGTAACGAACGCATCTTGCACCACATTCGGCTGCTGGCAGCACAGAAACTCAACCTCAGAGCGATGGAATCATAGGTGGATCACACATGGCGTCTTTGTGATCTAGCTACGTCGACGTCGCCCGCGTCGTTGCCCACCTGCGGCTTGCCGGCTTTCTCCCAGCCTTCAATCAACACCGCCGCTGCCTCCGGCGACGTGACCGCCACCCAGTCGTAGCCCCCCTGCTGCAGCAGCCCGGGCAGCTTCTCCCTGGATTGAGGCATGACGTGGCCGGCCAGTGACGCAAGATCTCATGCCGTCATGCCAAGCTTTCGCTGCTGCAAGGCTGCAGGCGCGCGACTCTAGAGCAAGCTGAAGCGCTGCGCGTACCTGTCGGGCCCTGGCGCATGCTCGATCAGCGGCAGCTCGATGCAGCTGATGCCATGGCTCTCCAGCCCCTTGATCAGCTTGCCATTCTTGCCCTGTTCACGTGTCGCCACAACACGTGGCTGCTGCGCGTTGCACAGTACTGCGCGTGCATGCAAGTGGGAGGGGTGGCAGCACAGAGCAGGCATCCTCAGCTAGGAAGGACACCTCGCACTTGCGACCCTGCCAAGGTGTGCCTGCGCACTCGCCTGTGCGCCGCCGTTGCTGCTGCTGAAGTGGCCGCTGCGCTACGGGATTCCTTAAAATCATCTGCATTATTGCTTAGTTGATATAGCTCCGTGCGGGGCGTTTTGAGATGCAGCGAGAGCGTAAAACAGGCACAAGCTTGGATTCAAGCGGATCTCGCACTTTGATACTGTAAGAGTTGTCAAATGTATGTGTTTGGCCTCTGCCGTATCCCCACTGACGCGGCCTCTTCATTTCGCTGGGGAGATCTTGTAGAGTCACATGTGTCACTGCTGCACCAACAGGACGCGCAGACCCTCGAGTGACATGAGATACACACAACTTAACATGATTAACAGTCACGCTGTGTGCGCTGTGGCCACATGCACAAGCGCTGCAGTTGAGGTTTCCCTGCGTTGCATTGACCCGCCTACATGGACATCATCATGCCCCAGCTCAGCCCAATAGTGAATCGCCCCGTTGCCTGTCTACCTATCTTGACTTCCTCGTGGCACCTCCACGAGTCCCGTCGCAGACCATCGCGCCCTCAAACACGGCCCCCGCTGGCTCCAGCATGCCCGCGGCCGCCTCCCGCAGCTCGCTAGCGGCCGCCTGTGTCGTGCCCAGCAGGGAGTCTTTCGCATCCAGAAGCGCATCCAGTGCCCAGCCCAGGCGCGAGAAAACAAAGCCTGTGAAGGGCAACGGCATTGGCCCCAACATTGGTTGAGATGCCAGCGCGCTGTGGCAGCACAACCAGCAGAGGCAGCAGCAGGCGTGGCGACAGGAAGACACATTTGGATCGCGCAACTGGCAAACTGACCGCAGCTGGGCTAAAGTTTTGCGAAAAGACCCACCCTGCGTTGGCCTGATGATCATCTCACTGACAGCGGTGAAGGGCCAGCCCAGGAGCCACATAAGGGCCAGCATGCTGTGGTGGTCCACCTATGGCGCACACCAATGTTCGGACGCGACGCCATGGTTCTGAAGGAAAGGTCCGCATCAGGTTTACGTCCTCGCACTCAGTGATCACTCAGAATCTGCGCTGCAAATTCATGCAGCCTGGGTGCTGGCAGCCGGCATGTGACACCGCCCAAGGTCCTGATGAAGCTGTTGGCTTTTGCATCATGAGTAGTCTCAGTGGAGGAGCGCAGTGACGACGTGACACGCACATGCACAGGTACAATCCCACCTGCTCCACCAAGCGCGGCTTGCCGTCCGGCCCCTCCCTAAAGCGCAGCAGCACGATGGTGGGGAAGTGGTAGCTGCGGCGCAGGGGAGGGCGTGCATATGGAACTTGAACTCATGTGAACTAAATGAGAGAACAGGCATTGGGTCGGAATACGAAGGGCGGCCATGTGCGTGCGCCTAAAGGCACGCACTGCGTAGCACGCAAGCACGTTGGCGATTGTGCAGCAATCCCAATTTCCCAGCACATCAGCACACACATTTGCGCGGCAACCACACATGATCAGGAGGCAAGTCACATGCCACAGTCTGTACCCAAGTATATCTGCACGCTCGCACCTACCGCACTAGGTAAAAGGGCGGCACCTTGATGCCCAGGTCCAGCTGCAGCACCACTGTGTTGCCGCTGCGGATGTATTCGACCCACGTGATCTGCAGGATGGTGTGTGCGTTTCTCAAAAGGGCGCCGCTGCGCACTGCTGCAGGAAGCAGGCAGCGGCAGGGCACTGCAGCAGCAGGCGGTGGCACGCGCGCTCGCGCGCTCACCTTGTATCGCCAGACGGTGGCGGCGAGGCGGTAGATCCCATAGAAGGCCTCCCGCCCCCTGAGGGTGCCCAAGATGTGGCTGAACCGCACGTCTTCGTCCACAAACGAGTCCACGGCCGCGCGCTGGCGGCAGCGATCGCCCGACAGCAAATCCGTGACCAAACCCGTAAGCGGCACCTGGTCCATCGCGCCTGGCCGTGTAGCAGGGCTGGGCGAGGTGACGCTGGGCTGCTGTGCAGGGAACCACAACAAAACAGCTGGAAATGGGATCGTGAAGGAGTGGCAGCATTGGGGGGGCGTGCTGTGCTTGAGGCCGCAAAGGCAAGATGCTTCGGTGAAGCTGCGCATGTACGCCCAGTCATGATGAGCCAATCTCGGCCAGCACAGATTGCAGAGCAAGCAGGCGGTGCATTCACCGATTGCAGGGGATTGCATCGGCCTGCAAGGGCGCCTCTAGGAATATTGTCACGCTCCCTGCCACTGCCCCGCGACGTGCAGCTGCCGACAGCACTCGACGGCATGGCGGGTGACCCACATGCCGTTGACAGCGCGTAGCCAGCGGTGCAGGTGGTTAGGTGGGGCCGAGAGAAGGGTTCGTTGATAAACGGAGGCATTCGTTAGAAGCTAGTTGGACCCGGTTGGATTTGACGTCAGTGGCCGAGTGGCCGATCCGATCATACCGTACATAGCCTAGAGCCCGCCGTGTGGCTCGCAGAACGCTTAAGTTTGAGGATACAATCAAGCGCGTCCTGATGGGCGAGTTCACCTTCTCGCAGCCGGTGGGCGGGGCGGGCGAGTTTGTGAACGCTGCCCAGAGCTAGCCCGCGCGCAGCTCCATGGCAACTAAACACAACGGTATCTTTGTATGCAGTGGATCGCTGCAGGCCGAGCTTGTATGTCGTGAAGAACCAGCACATGCGCATGCAGGGCCGTCTGCTGCACGCGGGTTGCATGCTGCCTCAGCAGCACGCCCGACGCCGCCCGCCGCTCAGATGCCGACCAGCAACCGTCCTTGTGCCATGCATCCATCCACTGCCCCCGCAGGACCCGATCGCCGAGTTTGGCGTGGGGGCCACCATAGGGCTGTCAGCAGGCGTTGTGATCACGGTGCTCCTTTCAGGCCTCAGTGAGCAGCTTCCCATCTTGTCGCTTCACATGGCTGCACCTCAAGCATGCGGCGCGCCCCCCCACGCTCGCGCTTGGTCTCGGTTATCCGATGTGCATTTGCGGATGCGAGACCTGCTCTCGCCCCTGCTGCGCCCCTCCTCCTTGGCGAGCCCCACCGCCGCCTCCGGCCCGCTCGCGCCCCTCCACCGCCGCCCCCCATCTCGCCCCCCGGCACTCCGCAGTGAGCGGCCTAACCCTGGGGCTGCTTTCCTTGGACCGATTGGACTTGGAGGTGATGGTGCGAACAGGCACGCCCAAGGAGCAGGCCTACGCAGCCCGGCTGGCGCCGATTGTGAAGTACCCCCATTGGGTGCTCGCCACGCTGGTGCGCAGGCATGTGGCACAGCGCATGCAGCATGCGCGGCGCACACGAGCGCATGGCGCCCACTCCTGCGGCTCCCGCCCGTCCGGGCGCTTTTCAGGCCGCGCGCCGATCCACCATTGGATGCGCCGGTCGCCAGCATCTGCAGTGCCGCCCGCGCCGCCGTCGCTGCGTCCCCTGACGCCCCACGTTTGCTGCCTACCAGGTGATCTTCAACACCGTGTCGTCGGTGGCCTTGCCGCTGTGCATGGACCGCCTGGTCAGCTCGTTGGTGGCGCTGGTGGTGTCGTCGACGGCAATCGTCCTGTTCGGGGAGATTATACCCCAGGTGAGCAGCGCTGGATGCGGTCGGTCAAACGAGGTTGCACAGGCGACCCCTGGTTGACCGCTTGTGGATCCGTGTCAAGAGCAGACCCCCTCATAATCCCTCGTTGTGCCGAAGCATTGATCTCGCTCTGGTGCCGTGAGCCCGTGAGCGCCTCCCATACTCAACCTTCGCTATCCCTGTCACCCCTTTCGGCTCTAAATCGTAAACCTCAACCCCAAGGCCGTGTGCTCGCGCCACGGCCTCGCGATTGGCGGCACCATGGCGCCCATGGTCCGCGTGCTGATGTGGCTGACGGGCCCGCTGAGCTGGCCGATTGGGTGAGCGCGCAACGCCTCCAGGGAGCGGCTGCTGGGGGGTAGCCGCGGGTGCGCAACAGGAGCAGCGATTTTGTGCTTGGGCCAGCGCCGGGCAACCCTCCTGCCGTCTCCCCGCAAGCAAGTTCTTGTTGCATCTTGGCAGCCCCAATCATCATTTCATTGATGGACGCGTCCCCTGCTTCAGCATTGCAACGCGTCTCCCCGGCTGCCGCAGCTGGCTGCTGGACTGGCTGCTGGGCACCAAGGGCGGCGTGTTTGGGCGGCGCCAGCTCATGGCCCTAGTGGACCTTCACAGGTGGGGCTAGCTTCCGGGCTTGGCTTGCTTTGGAATTTGGGGATCGCTCGCTTTGGGTTTAGGATTTAGGGTTGAGGGTTGAACGATCCTGCTCATGCGGCCGCCGCGGCAGCTGGGGCCTGCCCTACGGCGTCTTGCTGCGCGGCACCAGCAGCAGGGCCAGGTTGAAGCCGGAGCGGCCCCCGACGGCCTTGCGTTTTCCACGTGCCCGCTGCGCAACGCCTTTGTCCTGCTGCATCCCGGCCACGACTCACGTATTCCCGCTCCTGATGCGTCCCGTGCGCACGGGTCTTCCTGATTCTGCGTCGCTCACGCGTGCAAGCGCGCACCCTGCCCGGGCGCAGGACGTCGACTGGCATGGGCGGGCCCCTGGCCGACGACGAGTTCAACGTGATACTGGGGGCCCTCGACATGACATCCAAGACCGCCGCCAGCAACATGACGCCGCTAGACAAGGCGAGATCGCGGGCACGGGGTTTGCGATTCTGACCGGGAGCGAGCGGGCCCGCTGCACGGGGTGTGCTTTGATGCAGCCAAGCTGGCGTCATGCTTGACGCTACCTGAATGGGCAGGGCGCACCGTGGCACCGCACAGCTGATTGATGTATCACTGGCCCTCGCCCCGCCCCCCCCCCCCACACACGCGTGCTCAGGTGTTCATGCTGTCGACAGACGACCGGCTGGACAAGGCCACGCTGCAGGTGGGGCCTGCGGGGCCCGTGCTGCGAATTGTTTGACAGAAACTCTGTCAGGTACGGGCGGGCGCTGCCGCGCCCTCCTTCAGCCCTCCGGCCGCCCCGGATTGTCGTCATCCCACCCCCACGCTCCCTGGCTGCACGCCCCCGAGCCCAACCACAGCAACCCACCCTCTCAACGTGACACGACAACGCCACCCTCATGTTTTCCTCCCCCTCCACCCAACATCAACCATCCGCCGCAGCGCATCCTGGCGAGCGGCCACTCCCGCGTTCCAGTGTACGAGGGCAGCGACCGCTCCGCCATCCAGGGCCTGATCATCGCCAAGGAGCTGCTGCAGTACGCTGGCCTGTTGTCAGGACCCCAGGTGACAGGGTGCAGATAAGAGCCACGACCCCCACCCAGCCTTTTTGCTTGTCGTCTTGTGCGTTCGCAAAGAAACACTGGCTTCTTGCAAAGTGGCGATCAAAAGGCCCAGCTGCAAGCTGGGCACGCGCCGTTCAAAGGTCCAAGGCGTGAGCCGCACGACCGATCCCCGCCGCACGCCGCCAGGCCCCGCCCCGCATCGGCGACATCGAGCTGCGGGACGTGCTGCAGCTGCCGGTCAACACCCGAATGTACCACCTGCTAGACCTCTTCCAGGTGGGGGCCGTGGTGGTGTGCACATAACTGCAGAGCAGGGGCCGGGCATGTGTGTGATTCTTCGTGCCAGTGCAGTTTGGGAGGCATGCGAAGCCCGCCAGACCCGTTCCAATGCGGCACCGCGGCTGTCAAAGGTCGTGCCTGGAACGGTTTTGTACAGGGAACGCAGTGCGAGGAAGGTGCCTTCAGAGCACAAGTGCTTGGGATACTGGACGTGTGAATGTGGCTCGTGTGGCGTGTCGTGTAGGAGCATGATGGGTTCTGCGGACTCAGGCGGCGGCTGCATCATGCAGAGGTGTCGGCAGCCCACTTGTTGTGCTTGGACATCCCTAAAGCTTAGCTGCTCAGACGCCTTCATTCGCGCACTTCCATGCCCTGATAACAGACCGGCCAGTCCCACATGGCGCTGCTGACGGCGCCCAAGAGCCAGGCCACCGGGGCCGCGTCCGCTAAGTGGCGGAATGGGCGCCTGGCTGAGGTGGACGGCGTTGTGTTGGAAGACAAGGTGCGCTGGGACCCAGCCCAGCAGTGATTCTAAGCGTAATGCAGACGTGGCTTTAAACGCCCGCTGATACACACGATCACGATGCCTCCACGGCTGCGCGTTCTGGGAGGGCGTCTCCGCCTGCAGGGCCGCGCGTTTCAGGGGGGAGTCGCTTGCTGCCTGCAGGTGTCCATGGCATTCTGGGGTGTTGGGTGTCGCTGTAGCTGGACCAGCAGGAGCGTCGCTTGCGGACCACTTTTTAATCGCTCCTGGCACAATGTGCCAACCGCGCCGCCCTCCTGCCGCCCATGCGCGCACAGGGCGAGGATGAGAAGCTGGAGGGCCGCAACCGCCGCAAGCGCTGGCGTGACAAGCAGCGCCCCCGCTTCATCACGCTCCGCAGCTTCGGCGGCGGCGGCGCCAGCGACGATGGCGAGGACCGCCGCGCCGGCAGCGGCCGCCGCGGCGGCAGCGGCGCGGGGACGCCGCGGCTGTCGCGCGCCGCGAGCGGCGCCGTCGACGGCAGCGAGTTGGGGGACGTCGAGGAGGGGCGGCACAGCGATTCGAGCAGTCCGAGGAGCCCAAAGAGCCCCAGATCTACGACGAAAGATCTGGGCGGCCTCATGATGTGCCTCGGGGGCGGCGATGTCAAGCACGGCGCGAGCAGCGACGGCGGCGGGCCGGCGGGGGCGGCGGCGCATGCCGGGCCGGGGG